CTACGACTTGAGTTTCGTATTTATAATAGTCCTTCTTTAGTCCCATCGTTAAGACACCAGGCAAATGAAACATAGTAAAACGTTTTTTCTCAAACGTCCGCTTCAAATAAACGTCGGGTTTACAAGGCCAAGTCTTCAATACACAATCGAAGTGTTTACTCAAAAATAATACATCACCTAATACTTAAACTGTGCAAAAGAAAATTCATTGACAGTCGCCTTCCCCCTACCCATGCATCTAGACGTCTCTTTGTATTCTTACGTTTGTACTTTAGTCGTATGGACTGTCTGCTACATCAGTCATGCAGACTACATACGTCCAAGTAGGTACATGCAGTACGCGTTAAAATAAGCGTATACCTGTTCCCTTAAAAGTTCAATAAAATGTGTATACAACATCCGACAGTGCCTCGCCAAATTTGGTATAATTGCTTTGAAAATATTGCACTATGATTGTAATGAACTGAAGGCAAGCTTCATCTTAAGAGAGATTTTATAAAGAAAGAAAATTGTTTGTTAACCACACGTTTGCGGAGAATCCAGAATTATCAAACAGACTACGAGCCTGGGTTTTCTGTGAGCGAGTCGTTGCCTATCGGCCATAGAAAACGAGAGCGAGTACAAAAAAATTTTCTGTCTAGGGCCTATGTGCTGATAGTTCCAAGCGGGAAATGTAGTTTTTTTGGAACATAAAATTTCCCAGGGAATCTATCAATCCATAGGAGCGAGTCATAAACACGATTTTCATTTTCTCTTTATTGTTTACCACAAAATGTTCTTGTACTAGTAAACCTAAAACTGAAAACATCAAGACATTATTTACCGTAATGTCCAACCGTTAATTTCTGGAGCGCAATTGCCATTTTATCGTACCGTTGTTTGCCGGTGTATTCAGCAGTAGTATTTACTTCAGCGGGCTATTTTCCAGGAGAAATCTACATGGGAAAACGACCAAAACGACTCAAAATTCTGGCTCTTTGGTGCCGCGCATATATGCATAGCTAGCTTAAGGTAAACGGTTCAATGCCCGTCATTCTCTCTGATGAGCAACTACAGAAATACTGCAAGACTCGTAAATATATTCAGGGATCACAACAAAATGTGATATTAGGGCTTCAACAGACCAGGACAATTGGTCGTCCATAGATATTAGCATCTAACTGCTTGATAGAATAGTTCCACACACTGGAAGCTAACGTTATTAATTTCTAAATATCTATGCGAGAGCTTGATTAATAACTTTTGCTGCACATGTCAGAGGTGCCTATTTTTTCCGCTGATATCATTGTGATGAAACACTTAAATTCAGTGTTTTAGGAAACACTTAGTACTTAGTAGTTAGTTGGATCTACGTGTAAGGTAATTAAATTTCTGTAAAACTGACATCGATACCATGGTTGCTTCGATCTTTTAAGCTATTGATAATCCTTTGTTGTCTACAACTAACGTTTTGCTTTAAAAGCCTGATCCCAGCAAGCATTAAATGGGAGAACACTCAGCTTCTCTTCGTGGTAGGTTTCGTGCTGGGATCAGGTTAAAACGTCCTCTTACTCAGTCGATCTCCAGTAACTGTTGGCGGGCAAGACGGCTGCACACTTCTTCAATCTGTTCTTTAGTTCTGTGTGAGGAGATCAAGTAAGACACTATTTTTATTGTGATTTTATAAACAAGCAGTTGTTTTGCCTTTCATCAGTACTACATAGTGTATTTTGTTTCTCTATGTTTTATCTTCACTGTCCTTGCCCGTTCACATACTCTTGAAATACCGTCAAGTAGTCTTTCAAAACCTAAGGGTAAATACGAACCGGTCTTCCTTCCATAATCAGCAAGTCCTATCTCATGACGTATGACAAGTTTTATAGCTTGTATGACTTGCCAACCTACAACCATATCAGGTAGAGCTTAGGGAAATGCTGTCGAAGTAAATATTAGCAGGAAATTATTTAAGTCCATAAAAACCCAGAGCATACCCTCTAAAGGTGCGTTATTATCCTGGTCAGGATTTATATATGACCCATTTTATGATCCAAGATCAGTCGGGTCATGGTGCATCAAAGGAACCAATGAATCTTCTCTTCGCAAGGATTCTTTGGTTCCTTTGATACACAGTAATGATCTGAGTGATCCCGGATTATAAACACTCATTCAAATCCTCTCAAGGAATCCCAGCCTTATTGTCTTAGCATAACCTCGTGACTGAGCCAGAATATCGATAGAGCTGACATGTATAGCGACGCTTTCTACCAAAATCTGCAAACAAACGCAGGCTCTTTCGAGTGTTGTCTATCAATCAATCGTGATTGGTAGACAATAAGTTTGCCAATGCTGAAACTCTGAGTTAAGCTAAACTCGATGTTGAAGCACGCCTATGCTACAAAAAAAAAAGCCCAAAATACCGTTGAAGATCCTTGGTGTTGTCATCCAGCACCCTCTCCTGAATGGTCTGTGACCTTTCAAGGCATTCTTTTGCTTCCTGGAGTTCTCCCCTTTCTTTCTGCACCATACCAAGATCAAACAGAGACTTGGCCGTGTCACGATGATCCTTCAGCAACTCTTCCCGCATCCTCAGTGCTTCATCTGAATACTGCTTAGCTTTGTCGTATTGACCAAGAGCATAGTAGTTATTGGACAGATTGTTGAGTATGGTTGCCGTGAAGGGATGGTCACCCAGTTGTTCCCTGTAAACTGGAAGGGTCTCACTCTCTCTGACTTCAATGGCTTCCTGGTGGTCTCCTTTAAGCGACAGAGCCACTATCAAAATAATTTACAAGAAAATATTATTATTCCTCCGTCTCGATGCCTTTCAGTTACCTACAAGGAAAAACTAATGAGGAATTGATCCGGCCCTTGATAAGGCTCCATTACCAGCCACTGTTCGGGAAAGGAGGGGAAGAACGGACGTAGACCGGACTCGAGAGAGCGGCGGAAATCGAGCCTATTCTTAGATAGACTTCACGCGTCCAATTGTTAGTGGGTTAGAATCCCAATCCGATTGGTCGTGGCCAGACTCTTGGCTGCTGTCATCGTGCTGTGCTGACGAACAAGACTATTTACTGTCACAGTGCCTCGCTGAAACTGAGGATGCATAAACAATAAATGACACGTACCTGCCATATCATTGTATGTTGCTGCAAGCATGACGATGTCCTCTTCCCCATGTCTTTGTCTAATGTCGATAGCCCGCTGAATCTTCACTTTCCCTTCAGAGAATTTGCCTTCCTTTGCGAGACATCGACCAAGTTTGGAGAGACATTGGGCCCGGCTATTTCCTGTGTTGATGTTCAGATTCCGACTGCTCTGAATTTTGTCGGCTTCCACCAAATATTCCTTGGTTCGTTCCGCCGCTACATCACACAGACCTGGCGAACATGAGCAGTGGAACACTTGTTTGATCCCCAGGGAGGTGAGGCACTCACTCAATCTCTTTTGATCTTCCATTTCTTCAGACTTCTTTCTTAACACGTTGAAAACAGATTCATATCTCTCCTTTCCAATCATCTTCGCCAGAAGCTCCCCAACGCCGTTGAAGACATCGATGCACTTCCCAATTTGTTCTGCAGGCATTTCTCCGTTGTCACACCACTCAATAAGTTGCATGATGTTCTCTTCGTCCTGTCGGAAAGCTGTGATTGCGTCTGAAGCGTTCTTGCTCAAGAACAGTTTAAATGTGTCTGTCAGGAAGGTAAGAAAGTAGTTGATGAACACATTCCGGGCATTGACAAAGATTTCACGAAAACCTGACTGATCTGATGTCTTCTTTCCGCAGTAGTCGCGAATGACTCTGAGAAAAGTAAAGAAACAAACATCCTTAAAGATGTTTCGTCCTAAAAGAGATCGCTTTGCCAGTTCCAATGCATTATCTGTGAGCTGATGTTTACTCAGCATCAATGATTGAAATATTTGTTCAGCTCTACGCAGGGTGAAACGCCCTCTAAGAAGTGCTAATATTATGAGGGTGCTCTTTTCCTTTTCATTAAGTCTGCCAAAGCAAATATCAAGGCACACGTTAATCTTTTTTTCTTTCGGGACGGACTGGATCTTTCTTAAGAACTCAAATGCATCGCTCGGTTGTGCGCAGCTCATACGTGCCACGAGATCAAGCAGGTCGGAGTGTGACATGGCTAAGGTGTACAGAACGAGGGGAATGCCGCTGCAAATCTGTGATAGCTGGTACGCGAGCTGCTGGTCAACCACCCTTTCTATACAAACTCTTTGCAAAAGCTGAAATGATTCTTCTGGTTTAAAGCAATCCAGATGAACCTTTTGCTGCCCTAGGTCCGGAAACACAATTTTCTCTGATGAAGTGACCAGTAACTTGACTTTTCTTGAAATCATCACAGTTTCAGTGATAAAATTCATGATCTTCGATTCTTCGCATGGTGGGGTCATCCTCCCTTGTGCCACTGCTCCTTCATGGGGAGTTTCTTGCCCAATGTCGCCCAAATACAGCAGAAATTCGAAGTTGTCCAGCAGCAACACAGTGTAGAAAGCTTGGCTTTTCAGGCGATTTTTCAGCTCTGATATCGGCTTGTCGACAGGACAAGGGTAAACTTGTTGAAGAGCCTTTTCTGCGAAATCGTCCAGAGAATTTATATATCTGCAATTGACATAAACAACCACGGTGCAACTGTCGGAGTCCAATCGGTCGTTTGCTACCTTGATAGCTGTGCTTGTTTTACCCACACCAGTAACGCCATGTACGAGAACACATCTGCAATCGTGTGTTGGACAGAGGTATCTGCTAATGGCGTTGCATTCCTGGACACGACTGACAAAATGAGGTATTGTTT